GGAGCTTGTTTTCTATTACTGAGGGCCTTGCGCTCTTAAGCCCCAGCTTGTATTGAGAAAATAATATACAATGTTTCAAAACTTTGGCCAGCACAACAGAAATATTTTTTGTACTTATTATTTTGAAATAATTTCAGACATACTCATAAGTTGCAAGAATACTACAGAGAATTCCTGATACTTTACACTGACATTTCTCAAATGTAACTTTTTACCACATTTGGTTTGCTTTATCTTTCTCCTCCTTCTTTCTCTCTCCTTTGCTCTTTCCCCTTTCCCCTTCTCTTTTTCTTTTCCTGGATACTCTAATAGTAATTTGTGAACATGATACCCTTTACCCCTAAATACATTGGTGTGTGTTTAAAAAAAAAAAACAAGGACATTGTCTTAATTACTACAATACAATTATTAATATCTTACATAACCTCAGGACAATTATTAATGCTGATATAATATTATTATCTAATCTTTAGATTTTATATCCAATAATAATCCTTTATGGAAAAAGACAACAAATTCAAAATCCACTCCAGAATCATGTTTACATTTATTTGTCATTTGCCACATTTTTAAAATTCAGACTTTACAATGAAATGTCTAGGTGACTTAAAGACTTGTCATTCAGTAAACAGTAATGTGTTTTCTTTCTCAGTCAGATCAGTTTTGACAAATGGAGGTGTCATTTTCTAACACTGATGGGTTCTCGGTAAGATGGGTTCTCTTTGCTTTTTGTGTAATTGACGTATGTAATTTTAGAATTTATTGCAACTCATCACCTCATTGTTTTATCCCATTCCCATCTAACAATTATTACCCATGAATTTTGAAAGTTCTCCTCTGTATAGAATAAAAGACTTTTCTAGAAACAGATTTTACTGCTACTCTTCAAATTAGGGCTCAAACTAGGGTCTTCTGACACTTTGTCCTTCAATAATCGGCTGCTTTTCAAAACTGAGAACATAAGGTCTTCATTTCACTCTCCAAATTTCATGCAGCAGTTTTTTTTCCTAGTACTTGCTTTTGGTGTTTATTTCTCTAGAAAATAATAGGAAGGATATAAGATTAGACATCACACTAATATCTGCCCAAGACTTTTTAAATAAAATACTTTTATTTTTTTATTTTTTATTTTAAAGGTTTTACTGGGGAATTGGGGGAGGTGACCAGTGTTGGGGAGTTGGGAAAGAGGAACAGACAAGTTGCTGTCCTTTTGTTCTTCAGTCTAGTTGTGGAGGATGTCGCTTCACTGGTCCATGTTGGTATTATCATTGGGCTCTTCCCGGCTGAAGCAGTCACTTGCCGGCCATTGGACAGCGTCTCACGACAGCTGCCTGCCAGCCCCACTGCAGCCTATGTGGTCTCAGGCGACTCATAGCAGCCTAGCTCCAAGTCAAGCTGTTGTTCACCATCTTAGCTGTAGACGGTGCAGCGTCACTGGCTCTCATGTGGGATCCGAACCGGGGCCCTGCGGCTCATAGCTGGCGTCCCAAGCCAACTCTTAACCAACATGCCATTCGGCTGGCCCTAATCAAATAATTTAAAAGATAGAGTGAAAATAGCGGAATGCAGGATTTAAACATAGGACAGAAATGCTGAAATGTTAAGAGTGAGAGCAACCTATATAACTTTAATAACCTATGTCTCCCCAATAAATTTAATTTTAAAAATGTGAAAGTGGACAAAATGCTATTCTACATTAACATTATTCATATGATTGACTCCAAATATTATCAATAAATACCATAAATAGGAAAAAAAGAATGATAGCAGCACAGTGGATTTTTAAAGAGATTTTAATCAGGAAGTATACTGTTTACTAATTGTATGTATATTCACATTGTTGTGAAATATATCTCCAGAACTTTATTCTCGAAAATCAGAAACTATACCTATTAAATAACTCCCCATTTCCCCATCACCCCAGCTCCTGGTAACCACCATTCCACTTTCTGTTTTTATGAATTTGACTACTTTAGAGACCTCATAGAAGTGGAATCAAACAGTATTTGTCATTTTGTGACTGGCTTATTTCACTGAGCATTATGTCCTCAAGGGTCATCCATATTGTAGCATGACAGGATTTCCTTCCTTTTAAGTCTGAGTAATATTCTGCTGTGCATATATACCAATTTTGTTTATCCATTACATCTATTGATGGACATTTGAGTTGCTTCTGCCTTTTGGCTATTGTGAATAGTGATGCTATGAACATGGACATGCAAATATCTGTTCAAGACCCTGCTTTTAATTCTTTTGGATATATACTCAGACGTGGGATTGCCGGATCATGTGGTAGTTCTATTTTCAATTTTTTAAGCAACTGCCACACTATTTTCCACAGCGGTTACTCCATTTTATAACCCCACCAACATATGTAATACTTTTAAATTGTTTTTACTTTGCTAGATGACTAATGATGTTGAGCATGTTTTCATATGTTCCTCATCTGTTTGGATATTCTCTTGAGTTGAGCCTATTGTGTTTTTATTACTCATTTGGAAAAGTTCTTTATATATTTTGGTTAAAAGTGTTTTGTCAATTATATGTATTGCAAATATTTCTCCCACTGTATTGCTTGTCTTAATCTTTTAATGGTTAATGTTTTAAATGAACAGGCATTCTTAATTTTAATATAATCCAACTTCTTAATTTTTTCCTTTCTAATTATTAAGTTTGGTAATCTATTTTAAACTGTTTTTCTGCTCCAACGTTATGAAGGTGTTTTCTTCTAGAAATGTACTGTTTTACCTTTCACTTTTAGATCTACAGTATAACTCAAGTTACTCACATAAAGTAGGGGTCAAGATTGATTTTTTTGCCCATATGAATATCTATACAGTACCATTATTGAAAGGACTACTTTTTGCATTGAACTGCAGTGTCATCTTTATCATATGCCAGGTGGCCATATTTATATGGATCTCCTGAATTCTGTATTCCATTAATCTCTTTATCTGTCACCACACCAATACTAAACTATTTTACTTACTATAGCTTTACTATAGATGTTGATATCTGGGTAATCACTTTCTCTGCCTTTTTCTTTCTTTGGTTCTCTTAGTCCTTTGCATTTTCATATAAATAAGTTTGTAAATTTTCACTCAAAATAAACTGAAAGCATTGGATTCGGATTGCATCAAATCTAGAAATCAAATTAAGGGAAAATTGACATCATTACGATAATGACTATTCCATGAACATGATATCTCTCTCTATTTATTTGGGTCTTCTTTAATTTCTTTCAATAATTTATTTACAGTTTTCAGAGTCTTACACAGGTTTAATACTTGTCTTAACTTGGTTAAGACCACCAGACTGGGTGGCTGATGAACAACAGAAAGGTGTTTCTCACAGTTGTGAGGTTTGGAAGTCTGAGATCAGGGTGCCAGCATGGTCGGGTGAGGGTTCTCCCTCTTCTCTTTGTGTCGTCACATGGTTGAAGTGGCTATGGAGCTCTGTGGAATCTCTTTTATAAGAACACTAATCCCACTCATCAGTGCTTCCCACCTATAAATTAGTCACCTCCCAAAAGCTCCACCTCCCAATAACATCACATGGGGATTTAGGATTTCATACATGAATTTTGAGTAGACATGAATGTCCACATCATAACAATATTTAAGCAATTTGTTGAACCTAAATCTGAATTTGGAGACTCATTATACTTCATTTTCTATTGTTCGCTGAAGGAAATTTGGAAAAATGTGGAAAAAGCACAAATACCACTAATAAATAGCATTTTCCATACAAATAATAGATCAATATAACTGTGTTGTTGGTTTGACAACGTGAAAATTATTTGGTATAATATTTTTTGGTACAATATATATCATTTTGTATTTAAGCTTATTTGAAAGCAAATGTATTCTTATTTGGCTGTAAAAGGACATATAAATATAGAAAAAAATTTTAATATAAATAATTGTGTTTAGGGGGAAGGTCCTAAAACCAACTCTACTCAAGGGATGCCTTGGTAGCAATGATTGTTAACCATCTGGAGTGACAGAAGAAAGTGATATTGGGTAACTAACATCTTAAGAAGTTTCATCTCAAGTTTATGTAATATTATTATGGCAACAAAAATGGAACATTGCTATTGGTTGCTCCATTTTGGTACCAGCGGTGGGTAGTTTTATCAGTTACTGATTATGTTCTGATTAATGTGGTCACTCTCTGCTCTGTAAATTTGTAATACAAGGAGGGAGTTTTAAACAGAATGGGATGATTTCATATTGTGTCAACATTTTTATGTAATTGTTTTGAATTAACAGTAGGACCACAGGGTAATATTTTAAATTCTTTTGAAGTCTTTTTTAGCACCCCACGGGAATGATGTAGTGTAAGTTAAATGGATAAATATTCAAAATTAATTCTTGTGTTTTGCATTCACCATGTCAGCTGGACCACTTTAATCTTATGTTAAAATGGGTATCATAAATCCTGGTGTTGGCGTGGAAAAAAAATCACATGAATTGCAGGAACATTGCTTTATATATTAATTACTCTATTTAGTTAAACCATTCGCTCAAGGAAAAGATCCATAACTTTCCTCAGATCCTCAATTTCATTGCTCAAGTTTATTTTTAATGTTGGTTATTTTCATCTTGCTAGATTTGTCCTGTTGTGACATTTGTGGGAGAGCAGAGCAGATAGTTAGGCTCTTTTCCACAGGATCCTCTATTGTCTTTTTTTGCAGAACTGTATCAACAGTGAAATAAACACAGACTGCTTTGGTCTACTTTCACAAATAATAACCACGTAGCACAGATTTCTGTTCTGCTTGTTTGTTAGTCAAGTATTTCTTGGGATGGTCTGTGATGAGTTGTGTGGAGGAAGCTAGTTTGACACCTGAAGGTCTTTTAGGCTTCAACCCTTTGAGAACTAGTAATTAAAAAATAAATAAATAAAATGCAGTAATATAGAGCATTGAAAGCAATGTGCGTTGTATTTGACTTTATATTTCTTGTTTTTTTGTAAATGAATGCATTCTGCTTTTGCAGGTTTTAAGAAGAAGCAGCGATGAAGAAAAAGTTCTTTGTTTGGTTCGGCAGCGTACAGGCCACCGTTGTCCAACAGCCGTGATGGTGGTGCTCATCATGGTGTGGGATGGCATCCCTCTTCCAATGGCAGACAGATTGTACACGGAGCTTACCGAAAGTCTGAAGTCATACAATGGTCATCCCACAGACCGAAGATGCACTCTCAATGAAAAGTAATCAAATCTGTTTTGTACTGTTTTCACATTCAGACTTCTATTATATAAGGTTAAATTGTTAATTAATTAACAAATACATATATGGGAGAATAGGATTTTATATATTCTGCAACTAAAAAGAAAAGAACATTCCTTTGAAGAGAGACTTGGTTTCACAGTGAGTTATGATCATTTTAGGATATTCTCTGTTAGAATATTCTTTTATTGCTTCTTTCTTTGATACCTGATACCACTCACCCCCAAGAGCCTGGATCAGAGGGATTTTTCCATACAGGAACGGATCCTCTCCAGGGAATTGTATCATTTTGTATTTCCTCTAGCAATGTAAGAGGCTATCTGTTTTCCTATAGTTTTGCCAAAAACTTAAGTTTTTGCCCGTTTACCAGGTGATAAGTGTTGTCAGTTTACTTTTGATTTGCATTTTTCATATTATGAATATTTTTTCATATGGTTAAAAGCTATTTGCCATTCTGTTTGTTTGGTTTTGGTCCACCATCTGTTAATTATTCCAGCCCATATTTTTAAATGATTGTTCACTTTAGAGAAATCGACTTTTACATATTGGGACTATAAACCCATTGTGATATAATTTCTAAATGGTTTTGCCAGTTTGATATTTGTCTTTTTACTTTTGCTATGTCATCTTTTGCAAAAGTTTTCTTTTTTAAAACTATTTTTCCCTTAGTTGTATCTCAATTTTGAGTGGTCTTGAAGGACATTTTTTCTTTCACAAGTTATAGAATAATTCACCTATGTTTTCTTTTAGTACTTGTTGAAATCATAAATTTTTAAGAACATAATCTCTGATTTATTTAAAATCTATGCTGGTCAGTAGTGGGAAAAGGAGACCCCTTTCTATTCTTTTTTCCATTTATCCCAACAGTACTTCCTAAAGAGTACTTTTTTCCTTGATTTGAAATGCTACTTAACTTTATACACATATTTTGTATGTAAAGGACTCCTCTCTTGTATGATTTTTCTATCATTGTCTTGGCTTTTCAAGTAGTTAGTACCATATTTTTTTAATTGCAGAAGCTTTATATTACATTTTAGTATTTGGTGGGACTAGCTTCCAATCTTGTTCTTTTTCAAGGCTTTGTCAGTCTTTTTTTCTTTGTGCTTCCAAATAAACATCATAATCAATTGTGTAGCTTTAAGATAAATTGAATGATATTTTCTTGGGTTTGCATTAATTTATAATAAACTGACATCTTTATAATATTGAATCTTCCTATACCATAACATGGTTTTTATTTCCATTTGTTCAAGTTTACTTGTGTATCCTTCAAGTGTGTTTCCTCATCTTGGTCTTGCTCTCTCTTTTTAAAAAAAAAAAATTTTTTTTTTAAATTAAAGTTTATTGGGGTGACAATTGTTAGTAAAGTTACATAGGTTTCAGGTGTACAATTCTGTAATACATCATCTATATATCACATTGTGTGTTCACCACCCAGAGTCAGTTCTCCTTCCATCACCATACTGAAGGGTCTCTCTTTTTTCAAAAGAAATGTCATTATACAAAGCATAACAAATATATGTATTGTCCCATCTCTAATTCCCACACAAAATTAATTTGTATACCTTCCAAAGTGTTCCTTTATGCTTATATCATTTCATTATATTTTTCTTATCTTTCCAGTGTTAGCAAGTAAATAATTTTTAATGCCTGCTAATTATTTTGTTATGTGACTGCACAATAATAATACCTCTTGTATTAAGACACTGCTCTAAAGGATACACATATATTGTCTTATTTAATCTTCCCAAGAATCCAATAACATAAGTTTTATTCTGTCTAACCCAATGTAAATCTAGCTTATTTTTTTTTTAAGTTTATATTTACTGAAAAGATGTAAGAATTCTTCAATGAACTCTTGTATACCCCTTACCTAGATTCCACAGTTGTTAAATTTGCACTTATACGCAAAGGCACATGTACACAAACATATTATGATTGATTTTTTCTTTTTTCTTTCTGGCTTATTTGTGAACTAGTTGTTCACTTTATGTCTTTTTCCCCTAAATAATATGTTAGAGGGTATTTCCTAAGAATGAAGACATTCTCTTACATAACCTCAGTACAATGATCAAAATCAGGAAATTTAACTGATAAAAATGTTGATTAAAATGTAGATTATCTAATCTACAGTTCATATTCAAATATCTATTTCCCAATAATATTCCTTATAGTAATTTTCCCCAGTCAGGATTGTTCAGATTAAGTTGTTTTGTCTTTTGGTCTCTGGATCCTTTTGATCCTTTTATCTCAGCCCTTCATCGTCTTTCATGGTATTGACTTTCCTAAGGGGAATGGACTAATTTTGTAGACTGTTGCTCAGTTTTAGTTTGCCCAATTGTTTCTTCCTGATTCAATTCTGTTTAGGAATTATTGGCAGAAATACTACACTCAGTCCATAATATTAGGACCTATTTAAGTCAATTTGTCCCATTATCAGTGATGTTGATTGTTTGAAATTCTGCAGAAGCTCTTTTAAGTCTCTCACAGTCTTTCACATTTCCTATGTTTTAAATTTTTGAATAACTGTCAATAGTTAAGCTCCATTTTTCTCTCTTCATGTATTATTTCAGTGACATAAGTAAGTTACTTATTTTTCTATCTTGTTTGGCAACTTCAATTCCCTCTGCAATTTCAGGTTTAACTTCTTTGATCCCATTTGCATGCCACTTTTCTTCCTTATCAAGTTATTGTAATATTTTGCCCCTTTAAAACACATCTTCCATCTTTATAAGATTTAAAGGAAGTTAGAATATATGAACTACTTCTCCTTCCTTTCTTTTCTTTCATAGTATCTTGAATGATCCTTTATATAGTCTTTCTTTTTTTGTATTCCATGTTATCTTACATATCTGGCTTTTTTCTCACTTTCACAAAAAAATACTAATAGTTTTGATCTCTAAATTTCTATATTTTCATTTACTGTTATTTTTTTAAATGCAGCTTTTTACTGTTTTTTTATTTTGTTATTTTTATTGAAGTAACACTGGCTAATAACATGCAAATTTCAGGTGTCCAACAAAATAATTTGACCTCTGTATACTCTCTTGAGTGCTCACTACCGTAAGTCTAGTTTCCATATTGTTTGTCTTTTTAGGTCATTACGGAAGTACTATGTAGATACTATTAGAAGTTTCAAGCATTATGCAAGTAGTATCCACAAGAGTGCATGTTACTTCCTTGGTTTGATATCTTTGGATGTGTATTCTAATCATTGTCAGCTTTAATATAAAGTCCAATTTAGAGCTTCAAAAATCCCCCCCAAAATAATAAAATTACCAAATTACTGAAACAGGCTTTCTGCTCAATTTTTTTCTCTTGTGACATTCATGAAGACTTTCTTTAAAATTGACAAAGTGATTTCATATACAGTATATATTACCCTTTAGCAATCCTCAGAGGATTATATCAATGTCATTTTACTTAATGGAGGAGCTAAAGTCCAAAGAGGTCATAAGATGCTCTTGTTTTCATTTCTAATAGGAAACAGATCCAGGATGTAAAATTCAAGCCCTTTATTTCCCTTCCTCAGATATCTCCAGATCCAACAAGGTTATGGATATTGTAGATCTTTATAGTGTATTACCATTTATTTGGATTTACAATCTTGAATAAACATTGTAGTTAAAAATTTAGTTATATTCACATACAGTTAGCTTTGTGTTGTTAACATAACAGTTAGATAAAATAAGTAATAAAAAAGATGTGTTAAAATCAATTCATTAGCCATCTGTACTCCTAAAGTTACATGAACCTGAAATGTTCTGTCTGAGGTATTGTCCTGGTTTATCAGTTCATTCCCTTGCAATTACCATCTTACAGTCGTACCTGTACATGTCAAGGAATTGATCCAGAGACTTGCGGAGCTTCATTCTCTTTTGGCTGTTCATGGAGTATGTATTTCAATGGCTGCAAATTTGGTAGAAGCCCAAGCCCTAGAAGATTTAGAATTGATCCAAGCTCTCCCTTACATGTAAGTGTCCTTTTTACTTTTGAATTCAACAATGATTATATAAGTACATTCCTTTAAACTGTTTTTAAATAGTAAAAAAAAAAAAAACCTAAATATTAAAAAGTAGTGACAAAACAGTAAATATCTATATGTAAATAGCTTAAAATTCTAAATAAATTAGGTAAAGTCTTCAGCTGTCAACCCAAATTCCAATTGTCCCTGGCTCCCTCTTCCTTCTCCCCTAACCCCAGAGAGAATCATTGTTAAAAGAACCTAGAATTTTATACCCAACCAAAGTAGGAAAAATAAATAAAACCATTTGCCAACATTTGAAAGACTCAGAAAGTTTACTACCCACAGAGCTACTATGAAAGAATTACTAAAGGACGTAATCCAGAAAGAAGATATGTGAAACCGGAAGCAATCTGTCCGGGACACGAGGCCATGGTGAGCAAAGAAATTAGTCAACCTTACTGTTAAGTTTAAATAAATTGAATACTTACACTTTTAAATTAAAAATAACAACCTATAAGTATAATTCCATACTCTTAACAACTCAGGGGTGGGTAGGCAGTGGGAGAGGGGTGGGGCACCTATAAGAACTAAGTGTGGTAATGTTTTCTACTTTGTTTGGAGTGGGGTCGATTTAGATACTGATTAACTCTAAGATCAGTGTTTTTCAAACTTTGAGCTGTGACCAAGAGTAAAAAAGATTTTATATTACAAACCACTATATATAATATACACACGAGTAAATACTTAAAACAAAACTTTCAGAAAAGAAGACTTAACTTTATTATATGTAACAAAGAAATTATTTTAAAAACTAAGTTAATATGTAATTTAGTTACTGCTAAGAATCAGTATGATGCAAAGTAATATTTTGTATAAAATTATATTTCTTTTTAAAATGCTAGTTGTGACCTACTGAACTGATTTCATGGCCCATGAATGCGTCATGACCCACAGCTTGGAAAACACTGCTCTAGATGTCAGAAAACCATTTGAAAAAGTGCATGTTTAAAAATTTATTAGATGAGTAGAAATAGAATTTATAGTTTTGAATTAGTTGTGGGAAAATCTTTAAAAAGAAAACAATCCATCTATATATCAGCAAAGGGGAGTATACAAAATCATTAGGATATCGGAAAAATAGAAAACAGAAAATAAAATAGCAGGAATTAATCCAACTATATCTGTAATACTATGAACATAACATCTTTCAAAAAAGCTCAAAATTAAATAAATGATCCCTTTAAAGAGGTAAAGAGGTAATTAAAATGATTTAGCATTTTGTAGAGTTCCATTCTACTGCAATAAAACAAGGAAAAGACGGGGAGAGAGAGAAAACTATCATTTGCAGTACCATAGAAGTCCAACAAGATTTCATTAGACCTTTAGGGGAAAAACTATAAAAATTTAGTAAGGGGCATATAAAATACCTGATAATGGAAAGATACTATGTTCAAAGATTAGAACACTTGATAATGTGATGTCAGTTCTCCCTTAAAATTAACTAGTTAAGTTTTCTTTCCAAATATTATATGATGAAACTGTCTGTTAGTATGTAAATATCTTAGTAATATTGACATGACTGTTAAATTTTTATTCTATAATAATACTATTATACAATTAATAAATGTGAGATCAGTTTTTGTTTATGATTATTATTGATAATGAATAACATATATATAGTGCTTATAATACAGGAAGAAGCATTGCTCATTCCAGGAACTGACAGAAGGCCAGTGTGAAGCTCAGCAGGCAAGGGAAAGTGAGGTGCATGCAGCATCCTTGTAAGCCATCCCAAGATTTTGGAAGATAATTGAAAGATTTTAAGAAGGAGAGTGATATAATTACACTTGTCTTCTAAAGAACTCTCTCTGGCTGCTCTATGAATAACAGATTGGAGATGGCCAAGAGTGGGTTTAGCAAAATAAGCTGGCTATGAGAATTGTCCAGGGAAGGCATAATAGTGGCTTGGGTTATGGTTGTGACAGGAAATAGTGAGCAATGGTTGGTCTGGAAAGATTTTTAAAATTAGATGGTGGTACTATTTCTTGACAAAGGGTATGCTAAAATAGTACCGGGTTTGGAAAGGAGAGATTACAAATTCATTTTGGACACAATGGGTTCGAGATTCCCCAAGGGAATTCCAAGTAGGAATGTCAGTTCAATAATAAAAATCTGAAGTTTAAGGGGTGGTGCTCTGTGGTCATTGTAGCCATGGATATGGAATTGATGGTCCTAGAGATCAGGTATAGGATAAGAAGAGCAGAGGGATGTTGGCTTGATCCCCAACCAATTAAGATGTCATAAGAAGGAACCTTTATATCTGACACACATACATTTATTATAATGAAATAATTAGAAAGTCAGGATATTTACAATATGAATTAGTCTTCCATTTGTAAAATGATGCCAGTAGTCAGCAATATAAACTTTATTTTATTTGTTTCTATTTGCCTATTTGTTTCAACATTTCCACCAATAAATGAGGTATTTCGTAAGGTGACAAATTACTCAGTCTGACTTGTGACACTGGATGGTTCATAATATTCTACCAGCAGTAAAACACAATTAACCCATACCACCCAATATTTTCAATGTTAGAATACATAATCAACATCTTTTTAACAGATATTTAAATCATAATTCTAAAGTTTTCCCCAAATAAATGGAATAATTAATGTGAAAGTATAGCCAGGAAGTGTTTTTCAAGTAGGATCGTGGCTTTCCTGACTATAATAAGTTACATGAAGTAGCAGATAATTAAGTAGACAGATAAACGGAACAGAGTAATCTAGATGTAGACCCTACATACGTGAATTTCTTTTTCAATGAACGCATCAACATACATCAGTAGGAAATCAAAAGGGTTATAACTGATGCTTTACAAGTTACCAAGATTGAGGCTTGTTGAAAGCACTCAAGAATTAACTTCCTGTGTTGTCTACACTGCTGTGTGACTTTGGCTTTTATAATAACCTGGTACATACCAGACGTGAACTGACCTATATGAAAGTCTTCTTTCTGTGCTCTTGGCATCCACCAAATTTCAAATGAGGCAGGAGCCTCAAGCCTTCTTGAATTAAGTTCCTCTTTCATCCTTGTTCTCGTTTCCCTTTCAATTGTCATCCTTAAACGGGACTGATCATTTTTACCAAGTCTCTGACTTGATTTTGGATTATACTCCTTTCTGAGAAATTTGTTTCATAGTCGTCTTTTAACTATTGTTTCCAAAGTCTTCCTTCTCTGCTTCATACCTCATACTGTCATCAGTGACATTTTTAATAGAGAGTCTTGTCATCAGACTTTTCCTTTGAAAAAGTCTTATATGTTTCTACTCAGTAGAACTTCAGATTCTTGGTAATGGTGTTAACGTTCCTCCCAGTCCTACCGAATCTTCCTCAATTTGTAGCCATTATGGTGTAGAAAAGAAAACTGGTTTTAGACACCATTTGCCCACTTACAACATTTGAAGCTCTTAGCACAGGATCTGATACATGGTATGTGTCTTACGTGTATTGCTTTCCCATCTCAGTTATAGAAAGCTGTTGTATTTGTACTGTGTCAGAATTCTTTGCTTCGACATCTCCCCTTACCAGTAGCAACCTTGTCTTGATTTACTTCCAGTGCCCGGTACCACTGAAAAAATATAAAATATAGTTCTCGTTTTTAGCAACATAGGCAGTTTTTCAAATGACCTCTAACACCTTTTAGGTTTCTAATTAGCTTATAGAATTTTAATTTCAAAACACTGAATTTTAAAGCATAACAGTCACTAATAGCATAGATTAAAAAAACAATCTGTGTCATTCGCTGTCGTAGCTCTTATCACGGTAAGTATCAATTGTACATCAAGCACGCATCAGCAGTGCCTTATGATTTGTTGTCATACCTTAAACTCATTTTACATGTCATTGGGAAGCAACTTTTATGGACTGTCTTTTCCTATAGGAAAAAAATCTGGAAGATAATTTACAGAGTCTGGCTACACAATTAGCTCCAGTTTATAAGCAGTATGCTCCGGTTGCTTACCAGAACCAGGTATGTTTTAGAACTTCATATGGTAGTCTTAAACATGGTTGAAATTTCTGTATAAACAAAATCATTGTTAATAGAAAAGCTTTCCAATTTGAACTTCGATATATATTTATTTATATATTGGACAACTTAAAAAATATCTAATACTTTTTAGAAGTCTTGTTATTATGATAATTGAATTAAAACTCCAGAGTGAACCGGATTATAATTATTTTGAGAAATGAAACTTGTAACAGCAGGAATATGTGATTGAATTTTCATTGTTCAACACATGAAAATTAAGCAATGTAATATACCATATTACTAGAACAAAGGACAAAGCCACATGATACTTCTATAGATACAGAAAAGGCAGTGAGTAATCCAACTATCTCTCATCATAAAAACACAAAAAACTTAACAATAGAAGGGAATTGCTTCAGCCTGATAAAAGACATCTATGAAAACCTCAACGCTAACATCATAATTAATGATAAAAGACTAAAACCTTTTTGCCTAGTATCTGGAACAAAATAAGAAGGTCTACTCTTGCCACTTCTATTAAACAGTTTACAAGAGGTTCTAGCCAGGGCAATTAGACAAGTAAAAGAAATCCAGACTTTAAAAGAGAGATAAAATAAAACTATCTCTACTTGCCAATGGTATGATCCTGTATGTAGAAAATACTGAGACACACACACATACACATACAGACTCTATCAGAAATAATAAGTGAGTTTAGTAAGGTTTCTGGTTATAAAATTAATATGGAAAAATCATTATTTCTATACACTAGCAATAGATGATCAAAAAGTGAAATTAAGAAAAAATAGATCATCAAAATTTAAAAATTTTGTGCTTCAAAGGACATTATCAAGAAAGTAAATGGGGAAGAATGTTGGTCAGGGGTACAGATTCCCAGCTATAAGATAAATAAGAGCCGGCCGAGTAGCACGTTGGTTAGGAGTTGGCTTGGGACGCCAGCTCTGAGCAGCTGGGCCCCTGTTCAGAACCCACATGAGGGCCAGTGAAACTGCCCTCTACAGCTAAGATGGTGGACAACAGCTCCATCTGTAGGTAGGCTGTTGTGAGTCACCGGTGATGGCATAGGCTGCAGTGAAGCCTCAGTGGGCTGCCATAAGCTACCGTGAGTGGCTGGCAGCCAGCGTGAGCGGCCAAGAGCCGTTGTGAGCGGCCATCCAGAGGCCAGCGACCGATCTGCCTCACGCGGGAGGAGAGCAATGATAATACCAACATGGGCCAGTGAAGCGACGTCCTCCACAACTAGACTGAAGAACCAAAGGACAGCAACTTGTCTGTTCCCCTTCCCTGATTCCCCAGTGCTATTCCCCTCCCCCGATTCTCCAATAGAATCTTTAAAAAAAAAAAGATAAATAAAATGGCAATCTAATGCACACGTAAATTAACAGTACTGTATTATATACTTAGAAGTTTTTAAGAGATCTTTAATGGTATAACTACACACAGAAAATAATTGTAATTATGTGAAGGTATTGAGATGTTAACTAACCTTATTGTGGTAATCATTTTGCAATACATGTATCTAATCATCACATTGTACACCTTAAATTTACATATGTTATATGTTAGTAATACCTCAAAGCTGTGGGGGGGACAAATTTTAAAGAGAGATGACCACGAAATAGGAGAAAAGATTTGCAAATCATATATCAGAAAAAGAAGAGAAAGTAAGTGTAAATATTTTCTAAAATTTAAACATAACCAGAAGTACATATTTTTTAAATCTTTAATTGTATTATGAATAACATGCTCTGTTAAATTCCAGCTTTTCACTTAAAATTTTCATAAGTTCACTTTCTATACTTCTTCATGAATATGTATGTGTATCTACTTTTTATACACATTAAAAACTGTACATACATGATTAATGCACTATATTAGTCTTTCTTCCTAATAAAATAATATAGGCTCTTCTACCTGTTTATCCATCACCAGTGGATATTAATGTCCTCACCCTGCCTCCAGTCACAGCCGGTGATTTTTATTTCACCCATGTAGTCTCAAACTCTATCATGAATATTGCTAAACTATACACATTCAATGCAATAATACACTGTAGTCTCAGAAATCTCTGACATTACAAAGGGTAATTAATTTAAGAACATTGTCAGGAAATTATTTTTAGTCTTTGCTGGAAGTGATTCTGTCTCTTAAACTGTGTGTCATATGTTATTTTTCAGGTGGAATATGAACATGTTGCCCGAGAATGTCGGCTTGGCAGCAAAGAAGGCCGTCCTTTCTCTGGGGTCACTGCTTGCCTAGACTTCTGTGCCCATCCCCACAGGGACATTCACAACATGAATAACGGAAGCACTGTGGTATGTACCTGGGTGGCTTTTGAATTTAAAAGCTCCATTGCTGTATTCTTAGGCCAAAGTCCTTAAATATGATTTTTGTAGCATCCTATTTTATGTTCTGTTCCACATAGGGTATATATCAATAGCATTAATTTAAGTGATTATCAACGTACTTCCAAAAAGTTACAGAGCTAGCCTTAAATAAGTTATTTTGTTGAAAGTCTTGAATTATGTACTTCTTTGTGGTATGTTTGCTGACAGGTCAGCGTACATGGTTATTCAAAGCAACAATTCTTTGTTATCAAGCTGGTTGGTAGGAAGTTGAGCAACTTAATGTTTCTTTTTTGCCATCTGTATCTCATAGTTTCTGTGAGGGAACTGTGCCAAATTTATCATTTTTATGCATATTAGTTCTTTGTACCAGTATGTATAAAGTTATATTAATATTCCAAAATTATCAGAAATATTTGCGTTTAGGTGTGCATACTATGTTTACAGCCATGAAAAGAATCACATGCCCATGGTGTGAAGTCAATCAAGAGATACTTAAATTAGGTAGAAGACCTGGGAAAAATCATGCAACCACCCTTTTGTAAGTGAAAAGAGTTTGCTTGAGTTTTTTTCAAGTTATTATTTTCCTTTCACCTAGTAAAACAGAGATCAATAGAGAGTGATTGCCTCGATTTTGCACTACACCCGTTTCTTTGATTGGGCCTATATAAGAGACAACTACAGGCTCTTACAGTGTGATTGAAAGTGCACATCCTGATTCATCAATGGTCAGTCAGGCCTATCAGTGATAGCTTAAGGAATGAAAATAATTTTTTGCATATCACTCCTCTCCACTGATTATGACTATGCCGTCTTTGAGACCAATGCTATTTTCAGGTGTTGAAATTTTATAAGTCTGTCCAGATGAATCTTATCCAGAAAGTGGTTCATCATCATCACTTGCTGGTACATTTTACCTGAATTGCCTTATTATAGAATATCTGTGATCAGGCTGGGTTAGGTCCAATCAAACCAAATTTTGGTTCCTTTTCTCATACTTCTCTCACATATTATTCAGTGCTTGTTCTTCTCTACTGCTCTCGTTACTCGTGCAGTATTATCTAGAATTTGGCATAATTCCAGATTTCCCCATCTTAAAAAACCTGAACTCTTAAACCCTAACCCTAATCTTAACCCTGTCCCTAACCATAACCATAACCGTAACCTGTCCTTAACTCTAACCCTGTCACTAACCCTAACCTTAAACCTAAATATGTCCCTAACCCTAACCCTAATCCTAAACATATCCCTAACCATAACCCTCACCTTAATCCTGTCCCTAACACTAACACTAACCCTATCCTTAACTCTCACCTTCTCCCTAGCCCTAACCCTTACAGTAACCCTGGCCCTATTCCTGAAACAAACAAAAAAGAAAAAAAAAACCTGAACCCTTGAAATTGCACTGTCAATTCTTTTTCCACCCTGTCTGTTTCCTCAGTCTATCTAATTAGGTTCCTCATGTCTAGCCCTTGTCCCCTTCTTCGTCTCCCTATGTACAAATAAATTGATTGAAGTAAACATTTACTGGTAGAAGATTCAAATTTTTAACATAATTATTTTTAAATTTTTAACAAATTGCACTCAAGAGTTCAATATTTTAAGCCTTGCAAGTAAATGTGATTGTAGATATTGAGAAAATAATTTGATTTTAAAAACTTAGTTTACCTCACTTTACCATCTGTATCCATCCAGTTCTATCAACCTTGAAAATCAAATCTGGCAATTTCATTTATTTCGAGTCTTATAACACCTCTGCTGTCTTAGAAAGAGCTTAGCTGTAGGGAAATGTTTTTAATGAAACTATTGGATATATATTTTTTTTATTTTATTTTATTTTATTATTATTATTTTTTTAAGCTGAGCCATCCTGCCACCTGTTAGCAGCTCAGCGGTGCTCAGCTCAGGCCAGGAATCGAACCGCTGTTGCTCAGAGCTCAAGCTCTTGAGCGAGCTCTTAACCAACTGAGCCACTTGGCTGGCCCCTTTGGATGTATTTTTAATGGGTCTTTAATGACATTTGAAAATTAATTATCATTGAAATATTAGTTTATGTAGAAAACTTAATATTAGCTATCAAAGGTCAGGAATTTTCTGTATATAGTTCTGTATATTTTCACTTCTCTACAATGAGTAAAAATAAGTTAAAGTATGGTTATATTCAAGACAGGTTATATTCAAGACAGACATTTTTCTTTAAAAATTATTACTTACTCAGAATTTAATTTTATTATATTTTGAACTATTGTAATTTAACCAATACTGTTTACTGCAGAATAGAAGTGAAAAAGATACTCAGGTTCATGCTTCTGCTAATTGTGGATTATCATATACATTAGTTACTATCATTTTATTTTAGAGCTACACTCTCACATATTAAAACAAAGGGCCGTCCGGGTGACTCAGTTGGTTATGAGATTGCTTAAGAATGTGAGCTCTCAGCGACAGGGTCGCCGGTTCGATTCTCACAAGGGCCAGTTAGCTGCGCCCAAAACTGAGTTGCCAACAGGTGGCAGGATGGCTCAGCTAAAAAAAAAACAAAAAACAAAATAAAACAATCAAGAAAATTCTTAATATCTAAGAAACAATTTTTTTGACATGTGAAAGACTAAACACTTTTCTTGGGGCTCAGGCATATTAAAGCCTTTAAATTAACTTTAAGTTTGCCACTGAAAAACACTCTTTGCCATTTCAACTATTGTATATAATGACAGTTGATGGGCCCATCTAGATTCTGTAGACACAGCCTTAGAAACACTGTATAATAACTTTTGATCATTTCAACTAAAATTATGGGTTCTTTGTATTTGATACAAATGAGTTCACCCTGTATTCATTGAAATATTAAAAATATTCTTTAAGGCCGGCCGAGTGGCTCAGTTGGTTAAGAGCTCGCTCAAGAGTTTGAGCTCTGAGCAACAGTGGTTCGAATGCTGGCCCGCGCTGAACTGCCAACAGGTGGCAGGATGGCTTAGCTCAAAATAAATAAATAAATGAATAAAAATAAAAATATTCTTTAAATTGTATATGTACTTTTTATAAAAGTGTGTCTGTACTACATACTAAGCATTATACTCTGTATCTGTTTCATGTTACACCATTCAATCTGAACAACAATGCAAATTCATTATTATAATCATTTTACAGAAGAGTGAGACTCGCTATAAAAGGTTAGGTAACTTGACTAAGGTCACCCACTTAGCAAGTGGCAGAATTTGAATTTGAATAAGGTTTGGCGGAGGACATCACAGCTCTCTGCCTTACACATACTGTATGTGTGAGGAAGCTAAAGGGAGAAAGAAGGAGTGTTAAAAAACAAACAAACAAAACCTGATAGCTATTTTACAAACACTTGCTTTTTACACTTTTCAGATCTGGGTCATAGAGTAATGCCTGATTCCAGAAGGAATTGCCTTCCATTTCTCTTAACTAAACTTTTTTAAATTCTCAGGTTTTCCTGGACGTTTTAGTTTGATATTGCAAGTTTTAGGCAGAGGAGAAGAGGTTTGTGGGTGCAAGGGAACGTGTAGTTCAGCAGCAATAAAGTACTCTGGTGAGCAGGTCATTCTGTGTAAATTTCAGGGCCCAGTATAAAATAAAACTGTGGGACTCAATGTTCAAAAGGCAGGAAAGGTCATTTTCTACTGTGGTCTCTCTTGAATTCTCATGGAAGTTTTTATTTGTTATTTAATATCATATTCTTCAAGCATAGAGATACAATCAGGGTGGGCATAGGGCCTCACAGGTGCCTAGGGCCCAGCCCATGACTCGGTCCCTGTGGTTCTTGTGCCCTAGCTCTCGTGACGCCTGTGCCCAGGAGTGGGAGAGCTGCCAGCCAAGAGCCCGTTCTAGAGAGGGATGGAGACGGTGGGAGGCAAGAGTCAGGATGGCATCTATCAGGGGCTCTTAGCTCATGGCTTGCAATCACTTGTCCTCAAACTTCACTTACAAAGCACATATCCAAATATAAAATTACTAATAACTTCAAGACAGCAGCCACAGAGCATCCATTAAACACTAGGATTCCTTCTGAGTGCAGAATGCTTTGCAATTTTGGTGATTCCATAAACGTGAAGCCAGCCCTGCTTCTGCTTATAGGATACATGCCTGGAAATAAGCTGTAGTTGCCGGATTCCTTCCACTCACTTGCCTGGCCCTTATTTGATGCTTAGCTCATTAGTATCTCTACTTCACATTGTCCTTTTTCTTTTTTTCTGCTCTTTTCCCATTATATGTATCTCTCTCTCTCTCTTTTTTTTTTTATGAATTTGTTTTTGTTTTGTTTGTTCATTTTGTTCTTTAGGTTCCACATACAAGCAAAATTACATTGCATCTGTCTCTGTCTGACACTCCACTCAGCACAATACCCTCTATGTCCGTCCATTCATGCCATCACAGGTGGCAAGAACCCATTTCCTTCCATGGCCGAGCAATATTCCATTGTATATATGTACAGCCTACAGTTTATCCATTCATCCATCGACACACACCCAGGCTGCCCCCACATCTTGGCCATTGTAAACAATGCAACAGTAAATATATGAATGCACACATCCCCTTGAAGTAGTGTTTTGTGTTTCTTCATATAAATACCTGCATCAAGACAGAATTTTCTTAAGATGTTCTATTTCACATTCAAAGAAAGACAGGCAATCTTATTGATATGCTCCTAATTAGAATAGAAGGAAAATGGAGCAGCAAGATAGAAATTATCGAGTTAAATATTTTAGTTATTTTTTTAACGTTTGTAAGTCCTTCTAGAAAAGGAAATCATTCTTACAAGGAGGGAAGAAAAAAAATATCTATAGATAAGTTCCACTTATTGATAAAAGTGAAAAAAATCCTAGAGGAAAACATAGCGATTTAAGAAATTCATAATAATTAAGCTTTTACTTGAGAAGTGTGACATTATTTAAATATTAAGAAATAAGCTAAAGTAATATCTTCTTAATAGTTCATATTTAATATGAAAGCAATGAACAATTCAGTAAACATTCCTAAATTTAGTTAAATAAGATGGAATATAACATAAAGAAAGCTTAATATTTAAAATATTATAAAATACATAAATGTACAATATAATTTACTTTAAAAATCAACTCAAAATTATACGGGTCTGCTTACAATTGATAAGTTACTAGAATTAAATGGGTGGCTTGATATATAAGATATTTATCCGAAGTTAATATACCAGCAATAACCGATTAAAAATAAAATGGGAATGCAGATCCCTTTCACTATAGCAACAATAGGAAGGTAGGAATAACTATGATGAATGTACAGGTCCTTTATTTTCCATTTCATGGTTTTTCCTATCAGGTTTGTACTTTAACACGAGAAGATAACCGCTTGTTGGGTGTTATTCCACAAGATGAGCAGCTGCATGTGCTACCACTTTATAAGCTTTCAGACACCGATGAGTTTGGCTCAAGGGAAGGAATAGAAGCCAAGATCAGATCCGGAGCCATTGAAGTCCTCACACCCTGCCACAAAAAAAGAACCCGTTTTACTCAGCCAGTTCCTCGTTCTGGGAAGAAGAGAGCAGCAATGATGACAGAGGTTCTCGCTCATAAGATAAGGGCTATGGAGAAGAAATTCATCCCTCGAGTCAAGCGGAAGAATAACTCAACAATGACAAACAGCAGTAAGGCTTCGTTGCTGCCACTTTTAGGTGAGGCCTATGGACACAGCTAATGTTCCGTGCTCAATTTTCATTGGCGGGAGTTTGGAGTTCCTTTGTATCTTATTCTTCCTTTCCTTTCTGTTTGCTACTGTCTTAGGAACGAAACATGAAAAGGAAAATTTTAGGTTAGATACCGTTTAATCAATTAGGTTAGCTAATTATTCTTATAGCTCATTTGCCTTTTCTTTTGTTGTTTTGTACTTATTCTTCATTTTTTTATAGCTCATTTTTTTGGGGGGGGTTTAAAAGATTTTATTGGGGGAGGGGAACAGTGCTGGGGAATCGGGGGAAGAGGAACAGACAAGTCACTGTTGTCTTGTCCTTCAGTCTAGTTGTGGAGGACGCCGCCCCACTGGCCCATGTTGGTATTATCATTGCGCTCTTCCCGAGTGAGGCAGATCAGT